CACAATTTCCTGCTTTAACCTCTTCATGTGGGATGTGGCTATAGTCCTCACTGCATCTTCCTCGACACTTCCTCTCTCTTTTTCCTCCTCTTTCAATTTTTGTTTTTGTTTTCCCAGATTTTTCTCTGATTCACATCTTTTTCTCGAATGATCGGTAAGATTCTTCCTTTTCCTCCACTGTTACGCGCTTCCCTGTGTTGGGGGTTTACTGTTCTTCGTGTCTGTTTCTGCTCTTTGGTTATTCTTCTGGATTTGCCGACAATTCCAATTCGAAATCATGGGTCTTTAGTGAAATTCCGTTTCTGGGTTCTTCTAATTTGATGTTGATGAAATGATTAAAGCTGCGAGAGACTGCAGCTGGAGATTTTGGTGGTTGGTAGAATTTGGGCGATTCTGTGTTAACTTGTTTCTTTAGCTAGATTTCCTCAGTTTTGTTTCAAATCCAATTCCTTTAGCTTCTGTAAGAGTGACTTCTTGCAGTTTTCTTGATCTTCTTCCATTGCGTGTGTGTTTTAAGCTGTTGGGTTTCGAGATTTCAATTGTGGGTCTGTTTTTTAGTTTGAATTTTCTGTGTATTTGATTGTGTTGGTTTCTTTTGTTTTGTCTACTGTAACGCAGGTTGAGAGGATGGTTTCAGAGACTTGGTTTCGTAATCTGTGGAGATTTCCAAAGAAACATGATGGTCATAAAGAGAAAGCGGTGCTCGGTGTATTAGCTTTCGAGGTTGCTAGTTTACTGTCGAAGCTTGTTCATTTATGGCAGTCTTTAAGTGATAAGAATGTTGCAAGGCTTAGAGGGGAGATAACACAGTCCACTGGGATTAAGAAGCTAGTTTCAGAAGACGATGATTTCATTGTAAGGTTAATATGCGATGAGATGATGGAGAATGTTGAGAATGTAGCTAAAGCTGTAGCTAGGCTCGCGAGGAAATGTAACGATCCTAAGTTGAAGAGCTTTGAGAATTGTTTCAGTGAGACGATGAAGTCTGGGGCTGATCCATATGGGTGGAAATTTGGGTGGAAGAAAATGGATAGAAAGGTGAAGAAAATGGAACGTTTCATCTCATCGAATGCGAGTCTATACCAGGAGACTGAGATTTTGGCGGATCTTGAACAGACTTTCAAGAGAATGATGAGCAATGAATCTGCAACCGACAATCTATTGGAGTATAAGAAAAAAGTTACTTGGAAAAAACATGAAGTGAAGAATCTGCAAGATGTGTCTCTTTGGAACCGTACTTATGACTATACCGTACTTCTCTTGGTTAGGTCAATTTTCACAATCCTTAGTAGGACTAAACATGTTTTTGGCATTAGTTACAGAGGAGATGTAAGTGATGTTAGCTCTGCAGATTCTGATTTCATTGGCCGCGCCCATTCGGTTTCTACAATTTTGACACCTTTGCCGCGTCAATCTGAGACTAGCGGTCTTCCTCGATTTGCTTCTGGTCCACTTGGAAGATTTACCAGTCCAGCATCAGGTTCAGTTGCTACAAGGTCCACGAAGATGAGTGATTTCCTTTCGGGTTCTCTCACCACAGAATCCCCTAAGTCAGGCCCTCTTGCTGCAGAAAAGCACAAACGTTTCAAGTTTTACTCAGGTCCGCTCGGAAAGATCACCTCCAAATCTGGACCACTTATCGGAATGGGCAAAAACAACAAGAAGATGGGACAGACCCCAGAGAGGCCTTCAATTTCCTCAGTGAAAAAGCAATCGAAACCCAACCGGTTAACACAGGTTGGCCCGTTTAAAGGCTGCATGGTGTCTCACGACGGGATTACCCCTCTCAGCACTAGGAACCGGAATGGAGCTAGGAATAGTAGTGCCGAACATCATATTCTTGAAGGGAATTCTAACTCTGTACACGTCGAAAACTTGGTACTTCCTTCGCGACCCAAGTTGGTAGATGCTGCCCCTAATACCCTTGGTGCCGCTTGTTTAGCATTGCACTATGCTAATGTCATAATCGTTATAGAGAGATTTGTTGCATCTCCTCACTTGATAGGTGATGATGCAAGAGACGACCTTTACAACATGTTACCTGCGAGCGTGAGAACATCGCTGAGAGAAAGGCTAAAGCCCTACTCGAAAAACTTGACTTCTTCCACAGTTTATGATCCAGGACTAGCAAAAGAATGGACAGACGCAATGGCGGGTATCTTGGAATGGTTGGGTCCGTTAGCTCACAACATGATAAAATGGCAATCTGAGAGGAGTTACGAGCACCAAAGTTTGGTTTCAAGGACGCACATAGTTCTAGCACAAACCCTTTATTTTGCAAACCAGCAGAAGACAGAAGCCATCATTACCGAGCTTCTTGTTGGCCTCAACTATGTATGGAGATTTGGCAGAGAACTTAACGCCAAGGCTCTTCAGGAGTGTACCAGTAGTAAAACCACCCTTGAGAAATGCTTGGACACAGATAACTAGTGAAGCTCTCCAAGACAAGACAAAGTCTGCATTTTTTACTACCGCTTTTGACCTAGACCGGCACTGGATGAAGGGAAACCAAACCGTGGGCGCACGCCCAGTTATCCTATGTAAGCTTGGATCAAAACCGAGGGCGAAAAGCTGTTACATTGCTCGATTACCACGAGAGGTATTATGATTTGAGCTCCTCTTTATCTCTTCCTCCTTTACTCTTCTGCTTCGTGGATTGCGAAATTCTGACTTGTAGTAATGATGCGTTGTATATTGTTCTATGATTTTTATTGTGGTGAGATACATTACTGCATATACGTATGTGCCAAGGTTGTTTTTTTGTTGTTCTGTAAAATTCGTTGGTGATGATACAGAAGAATCCTTGATTTCGGACCTTTAAGTTCCGATTTGTCCAAGTTTTTGTCTGTAATATTTGTTTTGGAATTTGGATGCTCTCAACTCCTCTTCTGGTCACAGAGTCTTTCGTATGTGTGGGTTTCTCAAGTTTGGAAATAGACCTTTTTTTTCCCATAAATAATCTAGGGTCAATTTGCCAAATAACAAAAAAAAAAAAATTATAATTAATTAAGTAGCAAAAAATCTAAATTTAATGATTGTAGTTATGCGGGGAATTTTGGCTATTTAACTAATTATAATTTTTTTTTTTGAGTTATTTGGCAAATTATCCTAATAATTTACAAGGAAATCTTTAAATATTTTATGTTTTATGAATGCATTATTACTTTGATGGAATCACACTTGTTTTTCTTCGGCCAATAGAAGATTGGTGTTTTTAATCTAGGGCCAAAGTCCAAATCTCAAAATTTAATATCCTTACCATTAGACCATACCATTAGACCATCAACAATGGAGACATATAAATGTGTCTTGTCAATTT